ATTTAAATTTATAAACGCTTTAATATATTTTTAATTATATATTAATTAAATTTTATTTAATTTATTAAACGTAATATATTTGGTTTATTTAAACGATATAATCATTTATTTTAAAACTAAAAAAAAATATATAAAATATATTTAAAAAATCTTATAACGTTTTAATAAAATAAACTTTTAAATAAATATTAATAAAAATAAATTTTTCGTATAAAAAACTAAATATTTTAACTTAATTATTATTATTAATAATATTAAAATATATTTTAATAAAATTAACGTTATTTTTTAATAAAAAAATTTTAAAAATTTAAAAAAATTAAAAAGTTTTTTAAATTTTATTAACTTTTATAAACGTTTTATAAAAAAATATTTTAAAATTATTAAACCATTAATAAAAATAATAAAAATTGGTATATTTTAAAAATAAAAAAAAAATAAAAAAATATAAGTTGCATTTACCGCATTAAAAAAGGCATTTTTAACAAAATTTATTTTAACGTATTATAATTTAAACTAAAAAATTTTAATGGAAATAAACGTTTTTAATTAAACGTATAAAAATGTGTTTATATAAAAAAATAATAATAAAAAATAACATTTTATAGTTTAATTTTTATTAAAATATTTAATATAAAAATATAATTACAAAATTTATAATAAAAAACTTTTAATTATTATAAAAATTTTAAAAAAATAATAATTTAAATTAAAAAATTTAAAAAAATTTAACATATTTTTTAACCATAAAAATTTATAATATTTTATAACCATAAAATAATTAAATGTTAAATAAATTAAATAAACTAAATTTTTTAACCGTTTTAATTTTTACATTATTTATTAATTTAAATTAAAAGTAAATAAATTAAACGTTTTAAATTGTTTTTCCGGCACCGTATTTAAATTTGTATATAATAAAAAGATTAATAATAAATATTATATAATTTTTATAAAAAATCGTATAAATAAAAAGATTTTAAACAAATTATTTTAATATAAATTTAATAAAAATTTTTCCTTATGTTAATTAAATATAAACACGTTTATAAACGCATTAATAAATAACGTATATATAAAATTTTTTTTAATTTAATAAATAATTTTTATTTTAAAAAACGTAATAAAAAAAGCTTAATTAAAAGATTTACGTAATAAATTATAATAAATATAATTTTTAAATTATAAAATAATTTAAAAAAAAATATATTATTAAAATTGTTTATTTGTTTTTAAAAATAAAAATCTTAAAATTTAAATTTTTTTTTAATACCACGATTTAACCCCGGTAAAACATCTGGGAAAAATAAAGATTTTAAATTTAATATCATGCTTTTATATTTAGTTAAAATTATATAAAAACGTTATTTAATATGTAAAAAATTATTATTATTACATTTGATTTAAACTATTTAAAAGTGTATTTTAAAAAAGATTTTAATTTTTTAAAATTTTTTTTATATTATAAAAAAATATAGGTATAAATTATATAATACTATTATTAAAATATATTAAATTTGGTTTTATATATAAACATATTTTAATAATAATTGATAAATTTATAAAGATAAAGTATTTTATTTTAATTACGTTATTAAAGGTAAAAAAATTTATAAACGTTTTTATTTATAAAGTTTAAAATTTATATGGTATTTTAATATTTATTATAAATAATTAAAGTATTTAATTTATATTAACCTTTTAAATATAATTTAACCGTAAATTAAAAATAAATCTTACTTTTTTTTTAACGTTTTATCTTTAAATAAATAATTAATTAAAAAGTTTTAATATATTTATAAAAACGTATTTACGTTATTATATAATATTTTTATAAAATAATTAAAAAAATTAATTATTATTAATAAAATTTACAATTAATAACTTAATATTAAAAATTATAAAAATATTACCTTTTTTTATTAATTATAAATTTTATTTATAATTAAGTATTAAATTTATAAAGTCGATATTATCGGAAATAATTATTTAATAATAATAAAAATATTTTATAACAAATACATTAATTGTATGTATAAAATAAATTAATATTTATTTTAAAAAAATTATAACTAAAATATAATAATAATAAACTTGTTACGTTAATATAAAAAAATTAATTACCTTAAATATAAATTTAAAAACAAAGTTTTTTTAAACATTTAAAATATTAAAATTAAACAACCGGCTTAAAAATTAAATAATAAATAATAAAGCTTATATAAAGTTTTAAAAGTTTATAATAATATTTATTTGTTAAAATTATTTAAAAACGTAAAGATATTTTTAATATTTTATATATTACTTTTTATAAAAGCTTTTAATAATCTTTTATTTAAATAAGTTAAAATAAATAATTATATAAAAAAGTAATATAAAAATAATAAAATATTAATATAAAATAATAATATTAAAAATAATTATTTAAAATAGTTTTTTAAAAAAATATTAAATATAAAGATTTTTAATTAATTAAAAAAAATGTTTAGTTTTTTAATTTAATAAATATTATATAAATTTACTTAAAATCGTAAAGATTATATAATTAAAAATAAAAGTTAACTTAAAAATTTTTATTATAAAAACTTAAAAAAGCTTAAACTTTAATGGTTTATTAATTGGAAAAAATTAAAAAAAAAAAACTAAAAAAATAAAAAAAATTATAACTTAAATATAATGGAAGTAATAAAAATTAAAGCATTTAAAACAAATGTTTTATTTAAAAAAGGAATATTATTACAGCTGTAATATACGTTATAATATTATTTAACAATTTGTTAAATAATATTATAATTTAATATTTAAGTTAAAACTTTCATTTTTTTATATATATAAATAAAGCTTTATTATAATGATTTAATATTTTAAGTTTTTTAAAACATCATTTTTTAATAATAATACTTTTTGGTTTTAACTTTATAATAAAAATAATATTAATTATAACGTTTAAATTATTATTTTTATAAAATTATTTAAATGTATTATATGTTATATATAAAATAATTAAAAATTAAATTAATAATATAATTTTTTAATTTAAATAATAAAAAAAAAAAATTTTAAATATTAATATTTAATTTTATTAATTAATTTTTTAAATTTATAAAAAAAATAATTATATAATAATATTTATATAATTAAATATTAATTAAATTATTATAATATAAAATTAAAAAAAAATATATATTATTTTATAAAAAATATATAATGTAAATAATTAAATTTATATTATATATTTAATGTTATTATTATTTTATTAAATATAATATAATTAATTTTTTTAATTTTAACATAATTACATTAATAGTTTATTATATTTATTTATTATAACGAAAAAAAAAAGTTTAAAAAAATGATTTTATAAATATAAAATTATTTTATATAATAATAATAATAATAAAATCAATTTAATGCATTTTAACATTATAAAATAATTTTAAAATGTAAAATAATTTTATAAAATAAAACGATTTTAATATTTACGTGATTTTCACGTGATTTTCACGTGAAAAAATAAGGTAAAAGTTAAAAAAAAGTCGAAAATTAAAAAAACTGGTTTTTAAACTTATAACTTTTACGTTTATATAATTATAAATTTTACGATTAATTATAAAGTTTAAAGTTTTAACGTTTAAATTAATAAAATAAAATGGTTAATTTTATCGAATTATTTCGGAATAAAAATTATTTCGATTTTAAACTTTATAACTTTTACTTTGGAAAAAGTAAAATTTTAACATATAAAAAAATAAAAATTTTTTTTCGAAATTTTTATAAAATTTTTTTTTTTTTAAATTAAAATTAAACAATCGTTTTTAAAATAAAAACAATTATATAAAATGAAATAATTTTACAGTTATAAAACGGGTTTTGTAAAATAAGATTTTAAAAGTGGGGACTACGACCCACTATTCCCAAATTCTGACCAATTAAAGCCTTTAAAACCCAAAAACGTTGCGCCGTACGGAACCATTCCAATTTTGGAATCATTCTCCCAAACCCCCCTCTTCCGCTATGGTATGTACCTAGCAGTTACCCGGAGTTTAGAGTTGAAATATCGGGGGCAGGTACATTAGGTAACTTACAGGTACCTAATATAAGGTAAGCATGCTTTCTGTTGCTTCCTACCTTTGGGGTAGAGGTTAGATGTCCGTAGGTACGAAGTACATCTATATAATACATGCTTTCAATACGACGTCCGTCCATTGATCCTCATCTATCTATCTATCTATCTATCTATCTATCAACGTCAACCCTAGAATCGGCCTAGACCTCTATATTCCTACCTAGAACTCATCGTAAAACATCCGAGTAAATGTAAACAAGACTAGCTGAGGTTGGAAGATGAATGCGACTCGGGCTTCTGTGCCCGGGAACTCCCAAATCTCAAACGAATCCTCCTATTGCTTTTCGGTATAGCTTCAGCGATGGATTCGAAATGCACTGCCACTATGAAACAGTTATATAACAATAGGCCCATCTACACGTTGCCAGTTGCCTTAAATGGGGTAACGCCACGAATTTACCTAATCCTTTCACTCCTCGTAATAGAAAATGAGTCTCTAACATCTAACTTATAGAATGATCTTGTGCGGGTTCCCTATCGTGATATCTCATCCGTACGATCCGCGAATCAAATAATGAGGCACGATTGATCTCGCAATTGGCTTTAGCTAGAATAAGCCGCCGCAATGCTGTTTATAACATTTTGTGCCAGACTCATACAGCGAATGCTCGATTCGACCCGGGGTACAGGTCTGGGTTAGATTGGTCGTCGACGAGACAGGAGACTCGTCCTCTTCACATTTCTTACTCGGAAGTTTAAACCTAACGACGACCAAGAGATCCAAGAGATACGATACTACTCTATCGAACCCTTGGCTACCACGGTTCCCCATGTTCTAGGTAGATATTTTAAGCTCATGGAGCAAGTAGTTCGTAAATTTGGGTCAACCACAGAGCGAGACGACGAGGTCTTAAAACGCCAGAGACTCCCCTCGTCCTATCACTTTGTTACACATCACGGGTAGGTGTTTTCTCTCATTCATTCATTTCTCTCAGTCTTGAGCTTTCCTTCTCTAGGGCTCGGCTAGCCATTCCTTTCCCCTTTTTTTTCGTCACTCCTTTTCAGGATATATACACCGGTTTGTTTTCAATATGCTGTTTAGAAGAAAAGATGCTTTGGCCGTCGCCCTCTTTCTGCTTGCGGATAGAGCAGCGGCACGACGGCAATTCCCGCGATATATCACATTCGTGAACTCAACCACAACCGTAGCTGCCCCGAGCACAATCACTACGTCTGTATTCGACTCGTCCACCTCTGCTTCTGAGACTAGCAGTAGTATTATTACCTCTTCTCCCGAGGTCAGCAGTAGTATTACTACCTCTGAGTCTCTTACTTCGGACACTCCGACAATAAGTGGTACGAACCTTTCGAAGACTAACGAGGTGAATTAAGCTAACAGGGAGACTAGAATCGACTTTGACAGAAAGCGATATCATTAGCAGCACTTCGTCAGTAGACATTGCCACATCAACTGTGACAATCAGCAGTAGTTCATCGACAGGTGCTACTACTTCAACTGTTACAGTCAGTAGCACTTCATCAACAGACATTATTACCAGTACTTCATCAACAGACATTATTACCAGTACTTCGTCTACGGATGTTGTTAGTAGTACGTCGTCGACAGACATTACCAGCTCCGTGTTGGCAGCCAACAGCACTACGTCAACCGACGTTGCTGGCCCGACCATCACGTCTCCGCCGCTCCTAAATACAACTGCTCCGTTCCCTACGTTCGGAAATGCCACATTCAATGGAACTGTCCCCTTGACGACGCTGACGGTCAGCGTGACTTCCGTCTCGACGATCATCTCATGCGCATCTACGGTCACTAACTGCCCGGCTGCCACCGATACCGCAGGCCTTACTTCGCTCCCACCAGACGCCTACTCGACTGTCCTTATAACGAGCGTCATCGGTGTGACTACCACTGTCTGCCCGGTCACCGAAGCCCCATCAATCTCATCGTCTATCATGGAGTCTTTTACCGCAACTCCCCCCGCTGGCCCTACCGACTCTGTTGTTACCGTCACTGAGACGGGATCTAAGCCTTCTGGAAGCGGTGATAATGGCGGTGATGTCCCCAGCGTCACTACCACTACAGATGGCGCTTCGCCCACAAATGGTGGCGGCAACGGTAATGGTAATGGTAACGGTAGCGACAAAGGTGGTAACAAGCCTTCCGTCATTACCGTGACTGTCTCTGATAGCACCGGTATCGTTACCAAGACTGTAAGTTTTAGATTACCCTAGGCTTCTCGAGCAGTTACTAATATTACATTCCCAGGTGACTAACTCTGCCTCATCTGAGACCCCTATTGAGACGGTTATCACTACTACTTTGAACATTGGCTCCTCGTCCTCAGCTGTCATTCGTACCGTAACAGTCTCGAACCCTAGAGAGAAGTCTTCTGCTACTCAGCCGCCTGTCGTGACAATCACCGTCGGCAATGGGGACGGAAAGGGTGAGGGTGGTACCAAGACTAAGACTATCACCCCTCCGACCGTTACTGTCTCGGGCCCCGCCCAATCAGTTGTTACTAAGACCGTCGGTGGTGGTGATGTTAAGACAACCGTCATTACCGTTTCCGCACCAGCACCCTCGGTTGTCACTAAGACTGTTGGCGGAGGTGGTGATACTACTGTCACGGTCTCAGCACCTGGTGAGTCCGTGGTTACCAAGACCGTCGGCGGTGGCGGCGAGTCGACCGTTACGAAGACTGTTGGCGGTGGAGAGGGTATCACAACCATCGTCCAGTCTACTGTTACGGTCTCCGCGCCGTCGGTTGTCACCAAGACTAAAACCATCAAGCCATCCACCGTCACCGTTACTGATTCGGTACCATCAACGGTCACTAAGACGGTCGGCGGGGGTGAAACTACCGTCACCAAGACTATTGGTGGAGGTGGCAGCACCACAACTGTCTTCGAAACCGTAGGCGGTGGTGCTACGTCTACCATCATCAGTGTAGTCACCTCTACAGTGACCTCCACACCTGAGGGATTGTGTGCATGCACAACTGCCAACCTTAAGTTCTAAACGAACTAAGAGGCAGTGACGCAGGCGCCACATTTTCTGCGGGACAGTGTCCAGACACTTCATTTCTAGGCCCATAGACTAGATTGTCTTATGGCCATTTCTTCTATATCAGCGATATTATTCTTCAGGTGTATATATTCTAAGAGCAAGTCCTCCGATTCATTTCTCTATTGGGCGCTCGGGAGCGTCTTTTTCTCCCCTCAAATAAGAGAAGCAAGATAGCCAGGCTTGTCCGCCTGGCATGGGATGAGGGAAACACGCGAACACGTTGTACATATACGATTACAGAGAAATTGGGGGGTAAAAAAACACCACAAGAGGCCTGGGACTCTACTTTGGGCGGGATACCCGGGCCACGGGATGGCCATTTGCAATACATGAACAGACTAGCTCTCCAAAAGTTCAATACAGATTTTCTGCCAAATCTTTCGAATATTCGTGATCATTTCTGACTAACTCTTATAGACTACAATAAAATGCTGAAGTTCCTGCCGGTACCCGGTTACGATATGCCGAGAGAGCTAGGTGGGTAGCATTTCATGCTCGTATAGACCCTGCATGATGCATTATCATACTATGCAAGAAACTGGAACCCGGCGGAAGCACATATCCGGCATAACAGGTAATTTATTTACGGCTACCGGCAGGGTTACATCAAGTCTGCGCGGGATATATATATTAGGTACTCAAGGTTTTATAGAATGCTGCGAAGGTGGTCACAGGGAGTAGAAAAGCGCGGTACCGAATTTTTGTTTCTTGGAAGTTGGGAGTGGTGATTGCGAGGTAATAAGAAACCAAGGAATTGCCAAGTCAACAGGATCTGGTGTAAAAGTCAACTGAGCACCCATCAATGCGCACGGAGAAAACTTGTGAAGGAGCTGCTTGTGCGAAAATATTTGATAAGTTTATGCTGGGTGGATGGTGAGCTCAACGTAGTCCTTGAAGCTAGATCTTACTCTAGGGGATATCGGCAGTAAGTTAAATAGTCTATTAGAGGGGTTTAGAAAGCAGACCTACTACCTAAGATAATAATAATAGCCTCTTAAACTCATAGGTGAGTACACCAAAGTAAGGTGAGTCCCAACTGTACGAAATCTTACATAGATTAGACGAACTATGTTCAAAAATCGAGCTCGGTATCCTCAAGTTCAAGCACACCTGCTCCGGATACCATGTAGTCTTCTGCAACGTCGTCCGAAACCCAACCAAGTCAACACTCGCAGCAGTACTTCCCGACTCTGTATCAACCAAGTTGAAAACAATCTCCTCGAGCGCACTGAACTCGTACACGGCTCTATCCGTCAAAGCCCAAGTCAGACAGCTACCCTGCGGCCAGAACAAGAGCGCCTCCATCTGAGCAAGCTGCTCCGGCATTGCGAGCCGAGCTACCGCCCGCCACGCCGTTCTCGAGCCAGTGCTCAGGCCGGACGGATACAGCCGCATTGACACGTAAATTCCCCCGGTATCGTCGGTTGGAGAGGTAAGATAGCGAAGCCAATGTCCACGCACGTCCTCGCCGCGAACCGTCCAATGCGCAACACCAAGGCCCGGCCCATCATCATCAACAGCTAGCGTAATACTAGAGTCTCTCTGCTCGTCCCGGTAGGTACCCGCGAACCGAGCCAAAGCATCTTCCTTGCCAGCGTCTTCGATAGCCGGGAGTAATAGTTGCGTCACAAGCGAGCTTATGATCTGTGTAGTTCCAGGGCCGGCCCGAGACCCGGTAATAAGCACGCTTACGACGAGGTCGTAGTCTGGAATCAGACTGAACATCGCATGGTGCGAGCCGAGGTCGCCTGCCTTGCTATATACGTCGATCAGACGTTGGTCTGAGGTAAGCTTGTCGCCGCGCGCGATCTCCCATGGTGTGCCGATGAAGAGGCCCGATGAGGAGGTGAATGTCGCGGGTTTCAGCTACTGGCGGGTTTGCGATGGTGAGAGAAGCTTGTAAGTTAGTATTGCTTCGCCAAAGGCGATGAGGTCCTCCGTGCTCGAGTAGAATCCCCCAGCCCTGTTTCCTTTAGTCAATAACCAGTCAAATGCACAACATCACACATATACACTTACGGATCGTCGATTCCCAGAATATCGTCCCATGTCGTATAATTTGGGAAAATAGCACCGAGCTTGTCGTCCGTCTTCGCCAACGAGGTCCTTGTCATGCCAACAGGATCTAAGATGTTCTTCTAGACGAAGTCGTTGAAAGGCAGCCCGGATACCGACTCGATGACCAAGCTGAGCAAGTAGAAAGCCGTATTTGAATACATAGGGGTGGTATATGGTGCAAAAGTAGGATCCCGCTTCCCAAAGTTTTCCCAGAAATCTAGTGCGCACGTATGAGAGCAGTTACCTAGGGGTAAGGCGGGTTATACCGTCTACTGACCTTCTTTATTACAAGGGGCAACGCCTTGGAAACCACGGCAGCCAAGAGTTTCACGAGCTTGAGGAAGTCCAAGCTTTGTCCAGTCGGCCTCGAGGCTTGTCATGTCGGTTACAACTTGACCGATATATTAGCTAAGAGAGTGAGTGCAGTTCTTCACATGAGATTCTTACGGTCCGGTCCAATTCCACTCATGTGTGATGCTAGAGCTCGAAGCGTAATATCTTCCCAATCAACAGTAGCGAGCTGATCTTGCGTGCTTCTTTCTCGCTTCTCAAGCTCCTTGAGTCGTGGTAGGTACTTGGTGATAGGGTCTTCCATTCGGACACCCTCGGTCTTGAGAGCCGCCAGCACCGTAAACAGCTTGGACACACTTCCAACTCGATAGACGGTCGAGGCATTTGTTTGCTTCGTTCCTCGCGGATCTAGATCCGGCGACTGGTAGTGTATATCGACCAAGGGTGTTGCTTCGTGAATAGACTTTACGCCGATGGACACTGTCGTGCCGTCAAAGAGTGCCACAGCGTACTAGTCTAGGGTCCCCTTCAGTACTGCCAATACTTGCTGGACTACCGGGTTGGAGCTCGGACTCGTCGGCGCCGGGAGGACCGGTCCCAGAGGCGGACAGTAGCCATTTTTAGCCGCGAGGACATCGCGAGCCAGCACCGCCAATAAAGGGGATACTCTTAAGAGTCGCATGGTGTATCCGGACTCCGGTGTCTGTACCTAATTGCAGGTAGTTACATAGGTAAGGAAGATATATAAGTGCCTCAAGCCCAAAACTTGTGCCTAAAGAGGAGAGATTCCATCAACTACGTGGAGAATCAAAGAGCGAACATTGCGTATTCGTAATTTATTCTCCGAGAAGACACGGATCCGGAGCTGAGCCATGAATACAACGTACGACAAGCTTGGAGTAGGATGAAGCTCTAGCCAATTGATAGCTTTGCTTCTACTAAAGTGCCACTAAGCTACATTCCTACGTTGGGTCTCGCTGGGAATATGACGAATGGGAGTGTAATGGGAGTTTTGCGCGAGTCTTTACTTAGGTAGCTATGTAAGGAATGGTAGAGTCAGCTTTAGCTAAGTAGTATGCTCCAGCTTGTTACTCCTTCGGACATAAACGTCCAGATCGTACTACAGATTTTAGGCACTTATATTCTTCTTAGTTGCTAAATTTGATGAAGGAATGTTCTCACCTATTCGTAGCCTGTTCATCCGAGAACCGAGAGGTACGAATTCGGCATGGCCTTGGGTAGCGGTCTTGACGACGAAAGCGAATCCAGTGAGAACGAAGCTCAGCTTTTTCTAGTGATCAACAGGGGTTGCTTACCGCCCAGTCGACCCGTTCGCAAGGTAGCAATAAGGTAAACGATCAATTCTAGAACCATTTTGTAGATCGAGTTCTTCGGCTTTGAAATAGGACCCAACTATTTTATGAACTTATAAAAATATACACGCTTATAGTTTACGGTTCTTTAATGAATAAAAATCGATCTTCATAAGGGGTATCTCAATATTTTATTTGATTCAATTCTGCTTGCAGATATAATCGTAACAGCCATCAGACATGCCAAAGCGTCCTCCAAGACCGACCCTGCCGTCCTTAAAGTACAGTACAAATACAATCCAAATGAATGAGGTCCACATCTCATCCGTGTTCAAAAACTGCGGACTCCGTCTAGTGGCCGAAACCCCGAGTTCCATAGAATATGTCTCCGGTTATGTGAATGCTGCTGCTTAAACTTGGAAGATATTCGGGGTCTAAACAGACAACCTTCCGATTCCGTTCCATCGAATGGCGGTTTAAATGAGGGATATGTGAGTTGTAGTTCCGTCTCTTCCTCCTTCTGAGTAATCGCATTCATGTCCTCGGAGAAATAATTCAAATTTCTCTGATCTTTCCGATCCATATAACGCTCTGCGGTAGCTTTACAGACAGAATTCTTGGAAGCACACTTCGGCCTCCCGCCATTCCATCACTGCGCATTGGAGGAGGTTTTCTTCGGTACATTGGTCCTCTTGGCGTTTGGTTTTCCTCGGTGTTCCTTGTACGCCAGCGCATACTTGCTTGAAACATATCGTGCTCTCGAGCCCCGTATCGGCAACACATGCTCTTATCTTGTCCATAGAGCAGTCGTTGCTTGTGGTACTCCGAATTGTGTTGATTGTGTTTGCTTCGGCTTCGAGAGGTAAAGCCACGACAAGTGAGGCGCTTACGGCGAGAATCGTAGCGACGTTAGGGAGGGCGAAGAACTTCATGATGGCGATGTGACGGTGTATTCTCACTCTAAGTTGTTTAAATGAGTGGATCTTGACGAAGAGTGGCTCAATGAGAGAAATATCAAGTATCGTGATAGTAAACGAGAGTGTTTTGCGAGATCTTCAATAGATGCGCGGTTGAGGATCTACATATAGCTAGAAGTGATCTTCCCAGTTTTTTTCATTTATACAAGGAACATGATCGATAATCAGAGGAAACATCTTAAGGAGACTGGGAGACCAGACAGGGGTATGAGATCGTGAAGCAAAAGAGTCTCATATCGGCCAGTCATAGCGTGGATCTGAAACCAAGTTCCTTGTGTGAATCAGTGCGCCAAGGCGATGCGATACAATATCAGAACCCCTGCAACAAGACCTCACATCAGACCAAAACGAACTTACGTATTTCTCGAAACGCTTTCGTATACTATTATCAAAGTTCACCTGAATGGCTTATTATATCGTTGCAGAAGACTACATGATGCAAATCCTCATCCATACGCATTCGAATAAAATCACATGTAGTCAACTTCATATCGACAGCCTTAGTTTTATGTTTCTACGCTGAAACGCCATCGCGGCCTCAACCCCAGATCCAATGTTACTCCACCAGCGTTCATTCGATTAAGAAACAGAAAAGATAACGAAGCCTGCGTCCCTGTCCGTCAGAGGATCTGCAGCCAGGTTAACAAAGCTCGGCCTTGTCGCAACTAACGCACCCAGCTCGGTGGTATTATCCATGTCTCCACGTCGCGGGTCTCCCCCGATGTAGTCAGCACTTACGACATCGCGTATATCGCGCTGGGGCCGACTTTGTTAGAATATTGCCTACGTTCGTCTGATCCGGTGGCCTGCTTAACCAAGGTAAAGCTCTAGCCTAGTGGAGACGACTTGTTTTTATTCTTCTATCGTTCGTTTCGTCGTTCGACGGATAACCCGCACGGACGTTACTTATCCACATCCACACGTGGGCATTACGAACTCTTCCGGGACCTAGGACCATTACCAAATTAAGGGTTCCGAGACTAGTTTATTGAGGCTTGACGTTTCCATTTACAAGTCCTATTACCTAACTTAATATCCAGGGACGGTACGAAGCGAATGAGATAATCTCAGCACTAGTAAATACGCATTCACACGGGGAACTGAGTGACCCGACCTATGCCCCACTCCCCACCCTACCTGTGCAGGGGCAGTTTGTGTGAGAGACCTGACATGACCTGACCTGTGTAAAAGTTCAGTAGACCTATGGAATAAAGTTCATCTTACCTATGGACCAACTTAGCCATTTATAATCTAATTGATCAGTACTCACTAAATACTCACTAAATATTCACTTTCTTATAGACCAACTTAGCCATTGATCAGTACTTACTGAGTACTTAGTGAGTACTCACTCTACCGATATTATTTTATTTTTTTACAGCGGCTATTATAGTATTTATTTTGCTATACAGCAATTACGCCTTATATATAAATATACCTTATAAAAATTCGCTAAATGGTAGGGGTTTATGGTAGGGGTCCATAGGTAAAATGAATTTTATTCCATAGGTCTACTGAACTTTTACACAGGTTAGGTCATGTCAGGTCTCTCACACAAGCTGCCCCTGCACAGGTTAGGTGAGGTCAGGTGGGGAGCGGGGCATAGGTCGGGTCACTCATGCTCCCCATTCACACAAGTATTATCTTTATATATATCCACTAGGAAGTAGAATACGGAATATAAGATTGCTGTCGTAATTCGGTTACTGAATTCACCAACGTTATTACTTCGTAGTCTCAGAGATCTTTCACATTTACCTATCATTCGTTAGCTATTCAATAATTTAATAGCTAACCGCTTTTCCTACCACTCAAGATTTTGTCTACGAAATATCTGGCATAGAAATGTTAAAAGGTTATGTTCTCTTATGTAAGATCATAGGTATGGAAAACAGGATCAGATGGTAGAATGGATCTATATCTTATCGGAAATCCCATACACTAGGTAAAAGTGAAAGGATATCGACACGCGTATCATTACTGTTTCTACCGTAGGATGGTCGAAAATGACATTCGTCAGCTGTGAGGCTGTAACTGCAAGTGGACCGAAACCATTGAGTAGTCCAGGCTACAGTTTCAAACAATGGAATCATCAACGTAAGAGTACCTTGATCATCCTAGCTATCAGAGAGCACAGCCGAGATGCTTTTCATTCAGTTTACTTCAGTTGTAAGAGTTTAAGCAAATTAACGGCCATCAATTCTCGTCTCTGGAACCGGATTTTAGGTGTGGACCCCGGCATAGCTGTTATCTCCGGCGTCTTGCCATTCCGAGTAATATGTTAGACCCGGCCACGTAGCTAACCCCTATTATTTCCTATCCCAACATATAGAGGCGGCGCGACTCGACACGATGTAAATATTCCATATAGTCCACAAAAAAAATTTTCGTGAAGAAATAAACCGGATTCAATATGCCATCTCCGTCACCTATACTCGTCTACGTCATCGGGGCCGGAAGTGTGTTTCTTGGCATTCACTGCTTCTTAACGCCCGGAAGTAGAATACCGCCGCTTCGGCTTACCGCTAGAACCCCGCGCACCGGCGAAAACACAACACGGGTGATGAGGAGTACGCATCCCCAGTACTTCATTTAAAGGGCATCCGCGAAACCACATACGGTTTAGCATTAGGAGCTTTGCAATATCACGGATACGACGACGCTGTCACGATCATGACGGGCGTCATGTCTCTTGCGGGATTGGGCGACGGTATCGTAGTCTGGCTTTACGGCGGAGATGAAGCTAGGGGGGAGGCCTTCGGTCATTGGGGCGCTTTTGCTACTCTGGCCGGATGGTCTCTATGGAGGACATACGGAGACGTCCGCGGACAGTGAGCGAAATTCCGGCAAGCTGGTGTTGAGAACCGGTTATAACCGATGGGCTGTGACGAATAGAAGACATTATGTCGCCGTCACGTATCTTAACCCACCCGGGATGCGACGCGGTGACGACAATTGGAGAGGATGCTATTTGCTACCTACACATCACCTCTAAAAGGTCAGAATATCTATACGGGTTGTGCTACATGGGAGAAGTCCCCATCAGGGAAATATAGTAACTCCGAGACATGGCCGAAAAGATATCGTCGGTATCAATGAGATTGCTAATGACATCGGATGTGACGGAAGTCGCTCGGACCCGATGCTGTGGGACAACTCGAAGACATACCCCGCGATGCTTAATGCTGCTATCCATAAAGTCGTAACACTTAAGATTTGATTGCTGAGGCTAAGGACTATGGTCCTTTGATGTGATAGGACCCCACGAAAGGTAGTATACGTCAATAATTGAGATTTGCTGTCCGCTCGGGAACTAAGTCATGTAAGACGTTCCAATTTCGAGGAGAGGTTAAAGACAAATCCAGAATTTTGGTAGCGATGAAAGCCGGAAGCGGCTTAGCGAGGATCTTCAAAGGCAAGGGGATGTATGGTGGACGGTTAGGACATTTGTGCCAAAATCGAAAAAGTCGGTGGCACTATGTCTAATACGGTATAGTAGCGCTAGGGGTATAGTATAAACTCTACTATTTGCCCTGTGTACACAATTTACAAGGTAATACATACATTTTGTTTATTTTATATTATAATAACTTAATAAATATTTATTTAAATCTTTTGTAAAAAGCATTATTATTTTAATTGAAAAATAATAAAAATTACGGTTTAAATTATATGTAATTTAAATTAAAATTGGTAAAAATATTAAAAAATTATGTATTTTTATATAAATAATTATATAGGCTTTATTATCCGGGCCATTTTTATTATTAATTTTTAATATTAACCAATTAATTGTTAATTTAATCTTTAATTGTTTTATACATATAACATAACATATTTAAATAATTTTACAAAAATAATAATATAAACGTTATAATTAATATCATTTTATAACTTTAATTAATGCGAAAGTAATGGATTAAACTATATGTTTATACGATATGTATTAAATATTATATTATTATTAAAGTATTTAAAGTTTATTTAAAATGACTTTATTAATTAAAGTGTTTTTAAAAAATATTACATGTTTATTTTTTTAAATAAAAGTTATTTAATTTTATTATAAAACAATAGTTAAAAAGCCGATTTAAATGTAATTTAAATTATTGTTTTTACATTAATTAAAGTTATAAAATAATATTAATTATAACGTTTATATTATTGTTTTTATAAAATTATTTAAATGTATTATATATATAAAATAATTAAAAATTTAAATTAACAATTAAATCTTTTAATTTAATTGGCCGAATTATGCTTATTTAATAAATAATAATGAAAAAATTATATATTTTACTTTATATATACCCTGCATAATATACTGTGCACCTGCTATATTACCCTTTTTGGAAAGCCCCGACCTATTTTCTTGATTTTGGCACAAATGTCCTAACCGTCCACCATAAGATGGGAGAAGCTTGGGGGTATTGCGGGGAATTTTATGGAGTCATCTGGGGTAGCATGGTTGAAGAGTTAATTGAGATTGGAGATTGTATGAAGAGAGCATACAACTTGCATGAGTCCCGTCATGGGATCTAAGGGAGCAGTCTGAACAAAGGACCTCGATGGTATGATACACATGGTTATCGGTATATAGATTGGAGCTCTACGTAATAATTTCGTCAAGGTCCTCCCTACCAGACTTAAGTTGTGACAGGTCTCGTTACAGCATTAAGATCTGTGCTACTTGGATTCGTACAACATTTCCATTAGGCATTTAGGACCGCAGCCTTTAGCAATGAAGTTGCTCTGGAGTCTTGTTGCTGTCGTCCCGGTGCTTACCACTAAGCACCTCGCAGCCGGCGCGGAGGACAGGACGCAGCATGTAAATCTCTTCATTGGCACCGAGGGCCCAGACCCAGGCACATCCTATAATTCTGGCAATGTATTTCCCGGAGCCAGTCTGCCTTTTGGCGCTGTTAAAGTTGGGATTGACACTGCCGAGTATGTATTCTTGTATCGTGAGGAGACCTTGGCGTCGACCTTTTGCTAATGCCGAATTAGGTTGAATGTCTCATGTACGTTTACCTCCAATAGTGACATTTGGGAGATATACGCAGAACGAGATGGGCAAGAGAAAACCCTCTATAATACATAAATTGGCTTCTCAGCTTGTAATTCATTGATTTCTCACTTTGATTCCTTCAGTTACCGCGAACGGCGGCTATACTCCAGACTCAAATGTCACCGCCATCACGATGTTACACGAGAGCGGCACAGGTGGAGCACCAACCTACGGACTTATACCTCAAATGCCCCTTACGAGCCTTGACGGTGTGAATATACTAGATAATATGACCTATATGCAACCGCGAGTTTCCCCAGACGTAGCTGAGGTCGGATACTATAAGACCCAACTGCAGAACGGTGTCACTTCTGAGATGAGTGCTGCTATGCACGCTGGAATAATTAGATACACATACCCTAACAATTCAGATGGACGCTATATTCTGGTCGACATTAGTCATTATCTCCCCAGCACTGGAGACAAAGGACAGTTCTATAGCAATGGGAAAATCGACCGTAGCGATGACGGTACTTCTTATTCGGGTTATGGTGTATATCGAGGGGGTTGGTCTACTGGTCAGTTACTGCGAAATCATTTATACCTGATATGCTAACAAGCTTTAGGGGGTGATTACCGAGTATACTTCTGTGCTCGATTCGACTCTACCCCATCACAGTCTCAACTCTTCTCGGGTAAAGCAACAGACCCATACTGGCCCAGCACAAAGAATGCCACAGCAACTTTCACCAATGACACTAGTATCGACGGTGGAATCGTAGGATACCAATATGCAGACCGGGTAGGGGCCCTGTTCGAGTTTCCCCCAAACGTCACAACAGTTAATTCCAAAGTTGGCGTATCTTGGGTCTCGACAGACAAGGCGTGTCAATTCCTCGACGAAATCCCGCATTGGAATTTAGAGCATGTTCGAGATGCCGCGAAAGACCAGTGGAACTCGGACGTCTTCTCGAAGATCGACGTCACATCGATGAACCACACCCAGTTGGAAATGTTTTACACGGCTATGTACCATGCCCACCTACTTCCTTCGAACAGAACCGGAGACAATCCATACTGGGAATCAAATGAACCATATTATGATGATTTCTATACTATCTGGGACACATTCAGATGCCTCCACTCCCTCTACGTGTTAATTCAACCGAAGACACAAATTGAGATCGTTAAAGCTCTAATAGACATCTGGCGGTTCGAAGGGTTTATGCCGGACGGGAGAAGTCACAACTTCAACGGACGAGTACAAGGCGGTTCTAACGCCGATAATGTGCTGGCCGACTCTTATGTGAAGGGCCTTCGAGGCGGTATTAATTGGACAGATGGTTATGCGGCCATGAAGAGTGACGCAGATGACTTGCCCTTCAATAATTTCGACCCAGAGGATTTGACAGGTAGTACGAAGGAAGGCCGGGGCGCACTTCGAGACTGGAGGCAATACGGTTATGTTAGCCCGAACTTTGGACGATCTCTGAGTAAGACTGTCGAGTACTCATTAAACGACTTCTCGGTATATCAAGTTGCCAAGGGAGAAGCGCCGGACGACGCTACGAAATATCTCAATGCTTCTGCGTAAGTTACTGCTGCTGCTAGGGAGAGTTAGTAAAAGCTGCTAATCTGATTAATAGGGGTTGGCAAAGAACATGGGCCTCGGACGTAACGTCGCTGAATTTCACCGGTTTCTTAGCGCCCACGTGGCCGAATGGCAGCTATCAGGATTACGATCCAATATCATGCGGTGCCTGCGAATGGAGTAGTATAACCTACGAGGGTGTTCCGTAAGTAACCCTACGCATCTCCTAATAAAGCCATATATATACTAATTTCATCGTTCAAAGGTGGGAATATAGCTGGACCGTCCCATTTGACATGGAGTCATTGATCTCTCGGATGGGGGGCCCAACGAAAGCGGAGTCAAGACTAGACACCATGTTTATACCGGGTCTTGCAGGGTCTAATGTAGGCGGGAATGGCGCCGGCACGACTATCTATAACCCAGGTAATGAGCCCAGCTTCATGACGCCGTTCTTGTATAACTACTTTCCAAAGCGGCAGCATAAATCAGTTCAGCGATCACGGGAGGTAGTAGATGAATTCTACAATACGGGGCCCTCTGGGATCCCTGGGAACGATGATGCCGGCGCGATGAGCAGCTGGTTAATCTGGAATTTGATCGGTCTCTACCCGGTTGTCACGCAACCGGTGTATCTAATCCTTTCCCCACGATTCGAGAATATCACCGTGAGCGTTGGGGAGTCTGGCGCTGTTTTAAGCATCGGAGCTACAGGGTTAGACGAGGGGCCGTATATACAGAGCTTGAAAGTCAACGGACAGTCGTGGAACCAAAGTTGGGTCAGCCATGATGATATAGTCCGGCCTAACGGAGAGGACAGCTTTCTGGAATTTAAGCTTGGTGCCGAGAGGACTGCGTGGGACTCTGGCGATGTACCACCCAGTCCTGGTCATTATGAAATTTGACATGTCAACGCACACGGGGATGAACTTGGTGAGAGAAATTATCACACTCAAGACTTGCAACAGTTATATATCCCTGTAAAATAGGCATAACATATCGTCCTAGTCACCTGCATGTAACACAGTTACATGAAATAATTCCTATCTTATTTAGAATATAGGAAATGGGTAGCTTAGGTTAGTTCAAATGTAGTGATAATACACTTCGGCTCCTGCAATAGCATTCCCAAGTAAGCAGCAATCCCTCCTATCCCAAACACAGCATGGAGAAATCCTATTCGCTTCTTATCCCCATCAACGAGACGAAAGCATTTTCCGGGGAGCCGACCCGCCCTTCCTCCTACCCTCGGGCTTCTCCTGTTTATAAACACCTCCTTCTTTAGCCGCAATGTGTTGGATTTCAGAGAAACCTAAAGTACCGATGTAGAATGAAGTGAGTAGAGACTGAGCCGAGTAGAAGGTGACTCGAACGGTCTCAACTTTACCGTCTCTATGCTCACCCAGGATCACCGTTTCATCCTGCGCGGATCGCTCGTCTAGGATAGCGAAGTATGTAGCCCCATTCAGTTGACGAGATATATCTTCTATAGACTGTCCTAAAAATGGGGAGGTAAATGGTTGCAATGGTGGCTTTGATGCCCCAGAGGGCACGTCATCTGCCATTGTAATAATGGCGAGACAAGGATCGCTATTTGGGGCCAAGTCATTGCTTCCAGCAAGTGCATCGCGAAGGAACTTTTCTACTACCTTTCCACCCGCGTGACATCAGTAGGTATGGTTCAGCTTGAGATAGTATTAATGCTCACTGGAATTGGCATCTCGGCAGTGCAGTAAACTGAGAAGACAGGCATGACTAGCCGCAGATTAACAATGTTACATAAGGATCTTGACGTATATCAAGCTTCGTCGGCGCTAGGAGTGGGCAAACTGGGTAGGTAAATTATAAAGATTTTTATTAATAGGTACCAGATGATTGGAGCCTATTTAAGAGCATCGCTTAAACAAAAAGAGGGCCTTAACACCTTTCATTATAATGAGCAAGCTAAGTATTTTTTAAAATTACTTAAATGGTTTTAAATAAAGTATTTACTTTTTTAAAGTCTTGATTTTTTATATAAATAAACCACGTTTATTTTTTTTTATATTAATTAAATATTAAACAATATAAAAATTAAATAAATATTATTTTAAAAATAAAACTTTTTTATTATAATTTAAAAATTATAACTTTATTATAATTTTAAATTTAATATATATATATATATATAAAATAATATATTAAATTATATAATATATATAAAAATAAAAAATTTATATAATTATACTTTATAATTATATTATTTTACAATAATTATATATAAATTTTAATATAAAAAAAACATTTTTTTATATTTTTTAATATTTCCGGTAATTTTTTTAAAAAACGTTTAATAATAAATTATTATTTATAATAAATAACCATTTTATATATAATTATATAATTTAATTAATATATTTATTTTAATTTATAACACGTAATTTAATTAATTTATTAAAATTACGTTATAATATAATTAAATTAAAAAAAGTAATAAACATTAAATTATTTAACCGTTTTATATATAATATTACAATATAAATAAAGTTAATAATAAATTTTTTTTTTAAAAATATTTAATATAATTTAATTATAAATAATTTTTTAAACTTTATATGTAAGTATAACAAGGTATTTGTACGGATTAAATAATAAAAAAAAATAACGTAATAAAAAAAAAAAAAAAGGAAAAAACCAATACGAAATAAAACTATTATAATAACTGTTATTATATTAATTAATTAATTAATTAATGTTGTAAAAATTACGAATTATGTGTATAAATGTTATTTAAAAAAAATTGCCTTTTGTGTAAAAAATAATCACGTGTTACCACGTGATTATTTTTACGTAATAATATCCCATTATTATAAATTATAATAATAAAAACAATTATTAATAAAAATTAATTATATTAATAAAACTTATTATTAATTTCGTATAATTAAATTAAATAAAAAATAAAAACTATTATTTTATTTTATTTTATATAAAAAAATAAAAATTTAATATAACCGAAAAAAAATTAAAAATAATAAAAACAATAAAATAAATAAATTAAAACTTTTTAACCACGTTAAATTTTTAATAATATTAATAAATACGTTTATAAAACTTTAATTTATTTAAATATTTTACGTTAACATATATTATATGTTAATAATTATAAATAATTAATATTTAAAATTACCGGTTAATTAAATATTAAATAATTTTTAACTTTAATTAATTTTAATTATTTTAACGTTTTTTATTAAATAATTAAAAAACAATAAATAATTATAATTATATTTATTTATAACGTTATATTAAAAAAAGATTTAAAAAATTATATTAAAATAATTAACTTTATTAAAATTTAATTTAATTTATATTTTAATATTAAATAACTGTTATTTAAATTAATTTATATAAAAATAATAAATAACTTTTAAAACTTAATAAAAAATGTTTTAATTAAAGCCGTTTTATTACATAATAATAAATAAATAAATTATTTAATTAAAATACTTATATATAATATAATTAATTATATCGTTAATATTAATAAAATTTTAAAAAAATAATAATTAATTATTAATAAAAAAAAACTATTAAAAATTATTTAATATAATTATATTTAAACCGTTTATAATTATATTTAAATTTATTATAATTTTTTTAAATTAAAAATTAATTTAATAAATTTTTTTTAAATTAATTATAAACTTTTTATTAATAAAAATATACCATATAACATTAAAATTATATTAAATTTAATTTAACATTATAATTAATAAAACATTAAACATATTTTATATTAATAATTAAAAAATAAAATAAAAAATATAATCGTTAATAATATTAATTATTACTTTTATAAATATAATATAAAAAATCAAATTTTATATATTATATTTTCGCGTTAATTGTTATAAATATATTAAAAAAATATTTAACATATATATTTTTTTATTATTACCCGGCCCATTAACATTAATTAACAATAATAATAAATTTTTATAAATAAAATAATTTTAATAATAATTTATATATAAATTATAAAACTTTTATTATTTTATATTTAATATATTTTTAACATTATTAAAAACATTTATAATATAAACATTAAAATTATTATATTATTATTAAACCTTAATTTAATAATTAATTTTATTATTAAAATTTAAATATTTATTAATATAAAAAGTTTAATTATATTAAATATTTTTAAACTAATATTTTAATTAATTTTAAACCGTAATATATTTTTAATTATTTAATTAAAAATTAACTATATTATTTTATAAATTATAAATTATTTTAATAAAAATATTTTTATTTTAAAATTTTTTATAATTAATAAAAACTAAAATTTCTTTATAATAATTTGTAAAATAAATATCATAATATTATTTAAAATTTTATTAAAACGGCCGTTCGCAAGCTTGCGGGCCGTTTTTACGTGCGCGCAAACGCGCACGTGATATTTTTCCGAAAGCGCGTTTGCGTTCCGCGCGCGCGCGTAATTACCGCGTATTTTTTACGTAATTACTTTATTATTTACTTATTAATTACCTTATTAATTACCTTATTAATTAAAAAAGTTTAAACGTAATATTTTTTCGGAAAAATTATATATAATATATACATTAACATATATTTTATATAAAACATTATTAATAATTTTTATTTTATTAATAAAATTTTTTAAAAAAAATATAATATAAATTTAATTTAATAATAATTTTTATATTAATTTTTATTTAATTTATATTTTAAATTATATATAAAAATATAATTTTAAATTTAAGGTTAAAATATTAATTTATAATTTTAATTATATTAAATAAATTATTTAAATAATATCATTTAAAATAATATATTAAATTAATTATAATATTTAATAAATAAAAAATTTATTTTTAAAATTTATTTATTAATAATTATAAAACGCTAAATATTTTTAAAATTTAATTAATAATTTACTTAAAACGTAATATAAAAATTTATTTATAATAAATATTTAAATAATTTATATATTAATTTTTACTTTAAAATATTATATTTATTAAATATTTTATTTATAAACTTTACTATAAATAATAAAAATAAAAACCGATTATTAAAATAAAATATAACTTTAATGGTTAATATAATAAAAACTGAAATAAATATTTTAATTTTAAAATAATATTTAATAATATAAATTTTTACAATATATACGTTAATATATAACATTATATCCGTATTAATATTTTATTTAATTATAATAATAACATTATATAAATTTAATTTTAAATTATTTCGTTTTATTATAAAATTATTATAATTAAAATTTAATAATTTATTAATTTTAATTAATAATATTAATAAATAAAAATAATAAAAATAATAAATAATACTTATATTAAAATAATTTAATACCTTTATTTAAAATACGTTAAAAAATCGTAATAAATATTTAAAATCTTTAAAATTTTAATAATTAAACCGTTTTTTTGTTTAAAATTTAAATTATTAACGCCGTATTTTTTTTTAATAATTAAAAATAATAATTTAAATTATATATATAAATTTATATAAATTATATAACCTTTTATAAATACGTAATAATATATGGCTTTTTACCGATTAAAAAATTAAACAAATTATTTATAAATATTTAATTTAACGTTAAATTTATAATTATAATATATTTAAATTAAGTTTAAATAAAGTTTTTTTTAACTTTTTAACATTAACATATTATAAACAATAATTTATAAATTTTACTTATTATTTTATAATAATATATAAATATATAAATTATTTGAATTTTACCATTTAAATTAATATCAAAAATTATTAATTTTAAATTTAATTAAAATTTTAACTTTAAAAAACTTTATAAATTAAATATAAAAATAATAAATAACAATATATAAATATAATTATAAATTACTTTTAATTATAATAATTTTAAAGATTTTATTAACATTTTACCATTTTAAATATTTTAATAAAAATTAATAAAAACTATTTTATTATATATTAATAATATTAAAAATAAAAAATAATATTAAATATTTAAATATATTAATTTATAAATTTAACTCCGTCCGTTAGTTTATTTAATAAAATCAAATATTTAATATGTTAACAATATATTAAATTATTAAATTAAATAACGTTTACATTTTTAAAATATTTTTATTAAAAATAACCCATATATTATTAATATTAATAAAATTTATTAAATTTATTTAATTAATATAAAATATATTTTAACTATTAATTTAATAACGTTATAATATATTAAAAACTATATAATAAAAATAAAAATAAAAAATAAATTTATTATTATATTATTAAAAGATATATTTAATATAATTTACAAATTTAATATTATAAAATTAAAAAATTATAAATTTACTTATATTATATAAATAAAAAATAAAAAATAAAAAAAATAAAAATAAATTAAATATTAAATAACTTAAATAAAATATTAAATTTATTAATTAAATTTTATATAATATTAAATTATAATTATAAAATAATTAAATTAAAAATAATAAAAATATTACATTTATTTATAAAAATAATAAAATTATTATTTAAAATATTATTATTAATATTTTTATTATTATTATTTAATTAATATAATAATAATTATAATAATACATTATTATTTTTTAACAATTAAAAAAAATTAACTTTTATTTATTAAAATATTTTAATAATTAAAATAATTTTTTTGTAAAAAACGAAATTATTATATAATATATTTTTAATAAATACGCAAATTTTAAAAAATTTACCGTTATAATTAAAAATTAATTAATTATAATATAATAATATTAAATTTTTTAAATAATTTTAATAATTATTAATATAATAAGTTAATATTTTAAAAAAATAATAAATATAATTTTTATAATAATATTATAAACTTTAAATTTAATAAATTTTAATAAAATAATAAAATTAAAATATAACCATTTTTTTTTATATTAATATTGGAAAAAACTCGGATATAATATTAAAATCGAAATTATTTTTAATTAAAAAAAATATACATTATCCGGTATTAAATTTATATTATAAAACCTATAATTATAACATATGTTATTTTTAAACCGTATATTAAATTACCGTTTTTTACAATAAATATAAAATTTTCGGATATTTTAAATTAAATTATTATAAAAAACCTTAAATAAAGTTAAATTTACATTATTAATAATTAATAATTTAAATATATTTAACGTTAATTATATTAATAATAATGGTAATAATAATAAAAGGTTATTAATGCCGAAATTTTCCCGTAAACCAGTTTAAATAATATATAAAAAAAGTAAAAAAAAAAAAAAAAACGTATTAACATTTTAACGTTAATTTTAATGGGTATGTTACGTGGTTATATGTATTTAACGCATTTTTTAAATGTTATTAAAGTTTTAATTGTTAAAATTTTAACGTTAATAAATTAACGGTCATATGTTAATTATATTTATAAACCGTTTATATTAATAAATTATTATTAATTTAATTTATAAATTAATTAAAATTAAATTTATTAATAATAAAAATTAATGTATTTAAATTTATTAATATATTATATAAATAATGACAATTTAATTTATATGATTAAATTTTATAAATTTAAATTTAATTTATAATAAATTTTAATAATATTAAATATATTATTATAAACCGAAAAGAAAAAGTTGTTAACAAAGTTAATTATACCGTTTTAAAATTTATACGTTATTATTACTTTTATTATTAAATATTTTAAAAGGATTTTATTAAAATAAAAGTAAAGTTTATAATATTGTTTTTTAAATAATAAAATAATAAATTTATAATGTTAAAAAAAGTTAAAAAAAATATAAAAAAAAAGTAATTAAATAATTAAAGGAAAAAAAACGTTTTATTTATAAATAATTTTAAAAAATAAAATAAGTAAATAAATTATACTTATAAAAAAAAAAATAATTTGGAAAATATGTATTTAATAATAACTTTTTTTAAAGTTGTATAAAGTTATAACAAGTTTTTTACAGTTTAAAAATAAAGTTAATAATATTGTAAAATTAATATGTATAAAAAAATTGTATGGTGTTAATAAAAAAAGTTGTAAAAAAAATAAAAAAATTAAATTTTAAATAAAAAAATGGTATAATACAGTGACTCGAAAAAATAAACGTTAAATGGCTTTTTTACACCAAAAAATACCATGTTTATTTATTTATATTTATTAAAAATATATATAAACATTTTATATTAAAATGGAATAAATTAAACTAATGTAAAACGGATTTAATGGCGTTTTTACTTTTATTTGAAAAAATCTTTTAAATTAATTAAAAAATGTTAAAGTAAGGTATTTTCAAAAAGTGTCGATTTTGTATGGGAAAACCGTTTGATATATATGTTTTAATAAAATATTTAAAATAAAATTAAGTTAAAATTCGAGGATTTAATTTAAAACTATGGAAATTTTATATTTATAACTGTTATAAATTAAAACAATTATGGTAATATTTTAAATTTAATTACTTATAAACGTAATTAATTATATTTATTTTAACCATTTTATTTTTAAAATTATTTATTAACTTATTTTTTATATTTTATGGGCTTTTTAAATAATAAAACTTAAAGAAAATATGGATAAATTATATTATTAGTTTAAGTATTTTATCATATAAAAAGTGAATTTTTACTTATATAATATAAATAGTTATTTAATTTACAAATCGTTATACACCATGTTACATTACCATTTAACGTTTATTTTTTCGATTTATTATATATATAAAAAGTTTTATTTAAAAAATTACGTTAAAGCTTTTTTTTATTAAAATAAATTTTATTAAACTTTATTAAACTTTGTTTATAATTAATTAATTAATTAAATTAAATTTATATATATAAGTTAAAATTAAAAAAAATTACGTAATTTACTGTTATATAAAATCGTATTAATATATTAAAATAATATAAATTTAAAGTTATATTTAATATAATTGGTTTATTTATTAAAACGTAATTTTAAAGTTTTTAACGGGATGCGTACGTTTTATTTAATTAATTAAATTTTTATAATTAACTTTTTTTTTTAATTTTAAAGTTTTTTAATATATTTGTTTAAAATTTAATATATTATTTAATTAATTAATTATTATAACCTTTTATTATAAACTTATATTTTTATATATAAAAAATGTTTATTAATTATACGTTTTATTTTATTAATTTTAATATTAATTTAAATATATTTATTTTTTATTAATATTATTATTAATGTTATTTATTAATTTAATTAATTATATTAATCGGTTAATTTAAATATATACCATTTAATTAATTAAAAATTTATTTTATTTATTTTATTATTAATTAATTTATATTTATTAAATTTAAACCTTTTTTTTTTGGTTTAAATTTAAAAGTAAAAACTTTCCTCCAAAAAAATGTTATGTAAGCAAGTAAGGAAAGTTTTCTTAATTAACTAGGTTTAATTCCATAATAGAGTCACAAGCTCAAGGGGGGATAAGTTGTAAACTGATACGTATATTGGATTCAAGCCCCACTCCTTCAGCTCAAATGTACTCGCAAGCGAGGACGCGAAGATGGGGTATTTTCAAGAAGCGCGAGACCCGATTCCAATCGGCTGAACTCTCATGCGACATCAGCCGGGCTTCTATAACATCTAGCTGATGTTCTATAGCCTCTTCCATAATACGGATGAAATTATCGCAGCTGCTGTCAATTTCGGCCTTGTCTTCAAAGGCTGTCTCCCACTTGTTTCCAAGTACTTCCACAAAGCGACGATCGCTACCATAGAAGATTATGGGATCCCGTTCCGTAGTCTCTTCCTTGGTTGGCACATAGTGTCTTCGCTTGATCCTGTAGTCGATTAACCAGACATATGACAAGCCCTTTGCATTGAATAAGGGTTGGATGATTGACTCGACAATTGACAACCGATGTCTCATTCCCAAATCAGCTTTCTCTACCGTAATTCCCCATGCTGGATCATACTCCAAGGCGATATTTTGTAGGCCATGGAAACCCCATCGTGTAGATCCAAGAGCGACGCCATCCGGTTTGCTGATATCTTCACAATTAAAGTAATCAAGTATTTCTGGTTGGAGGCAAAAGAGATCTCGGTATGGTACAACGGTGAAGTAGCGATCAGTTGAGTCGTCACCCCGAAAATAGCCCGTTGCCGGCATTAGATGCTCGCCCTTTACCTGGACTGGGTTCCCAGTATGAGACCGCAGACGTCTATCCCGGACTGCATCCCATTTTTTGCTATCGAAAACGCGTTCGATGAGAAGTCGAGACTCTTTACAGGCGTTCCAAAGGCCCCCATCAATAAGGTACGTTGAAAAATTGTGGTATGTCCATGAACTAGCCACCTCTTGTCCAGAAGTGACAATCAAGCCGGTGTCAATAGATCTGGGCTTACATTTCGGGGCCGCCAGATGAAACTTGAAGCAACTGGCAGCTACTACGACGGCCTTGTCAACGTCGTCTCCGCTTCCGTCATAAATGCTGAATATGTGTGCACCCCGTCGAGCAGGGCCACCAGGCCTAATTGCAAGCTTCCAAATCTTATCCCTCAGCTCCGGTGGGAGACGGCCAAATGAGTGGAAAGTTTCAGGCATTGTGGACGCCGTGAGATGGCTGGTGACTAAATGGCTGATGTCCTTGCTAAAGATAGGATGTAAATAGGGACTTTCGTTCAAGGAGACTATTTAGAATATAGTTTAATAGTATGCTTGTGTGTGGCATCAGAGTATCATGATGAAGGGTGAAATGTTGTTGTAGATACTATGATAGTGTTGGAACTGAGTGTGGGAGTGTGGGAGTGTGGGAGAGTGTTAAAACACAGCAAATACTGCATCTTAAATACACTTCATACAGCAGCGTGCCTTCCTTGGCCGCACTCTCTATCATATGAGAGATAGAAGCTACGTCACAGGAAGGTGTGAAAGACGCCATAGTGTACCTAGGTACCTATACTTCAAATTGGATGTTGTACTAAACAGGTACTTTCACTTTCAGATGAGCGGCCAGGGACCTTACTGGGGTCAATGTGGCTGGTTTCAACATCTACATTCAAAGAAGGTCCCGTCAGCCGTCGAACGCTATGGTAACGAGATCAAGCGCGTGCTGGCTGTTCTGGAGGGCATATGGGCCGCTAAGCCTGCCAATGCCCAATGGCTTGTAGGTGAAAAAATGACATTCGCGGATATGGCCTGGGTGCCCTGGAATTTCCGACTCCAAGAGGTGCTAATCCAGCCTTGGGATGAGGTCTGGGAAGGCACCCCTCATGTCCGTGCCTAGCATGAACGTATGGCCGAATTGCCCCTCGTGGAAGAGATGCATGGAAATTCGTGCTCGTCTGATGGAAGAGCAGGACTTGCAGTGGAATGGTGTTCCCAAAAGGTATCGAGACTTTTACTGACTATGAGTCTAAGATCGCCGCTGGTCAGGATAGTACAGCGAAGTAGTGATCCGTCTATCATACTTGTCCAAGTAGCGCAATAGTACTACGGGAAGGCGGTAGCAAACGAAAATATTATTTCGACTTGCAGTATTCTTTAGCATCTCTTCCTTTCGACCTCCTTGTTGACCTAACTAATATTCCTACTATGTTGAACTAGGTACCTAGGTATGTATCTATCTTATATGCGCGGACAAGATTGATACCATGCGCTCTAGACAAGCAGTTGATTTTCGAAGACTGTACTGTAATATAGTACGAACATACCTTCTAAAACTCCGTATCTGGAATATATAATTCCCCTACGAACCCCAAAATTGTTGGCGTCCGATATTGACATGGTAGCTTTGGTTCCGCTGGCACAGTCTACGCAATGATTGCTTTAGCTGCCTTCTGCACATCGCGGTTCTTACACTCTCTGTGGTGTTATTCACGTGGAGTGCTCCCAGGTCCCGATATAATTTTATGTGTATATCGGCATTGTGACTTTTCTTGATTTCGTGTGAGCCTCTTAGAACTAGCAAGGTCCTAGCCGATGGCAAGTTCCAGTAAATTAGATCTCAAACGAATTTGATAAAGCGTTCACCCAACGTCCCTAGTATTCTTTCATATCCGCTGTTAAGTCCGAGTGTTTTCCAAGATTCTCCATCCCTAGACTTAGAAGCTTTATTCATAGCATCCAATTTAGCTGGTGTAGGGTTAGGTTTGCAATCGAACTCTTCAATGAGACACCGAGCCTCATTCACCATCATCCCATGGATAAAACAATCTCCAATTAGTTCAAAGTATTCTGGCTTCTCCATGGCACCCAGGTTTTTTTTATGACATTGTCCGCTGTTCTCGCGAAGCGAGGGTGGCTGCCAAGGACGAATAACCACGCCTAGGCTATACCCTACCAAGATGCTCACTGCATCATGAAGCCGTGTATCTCGTGGCACTAGACAGAAATACCCATAGTTCGTCATCGCAAATCGAAAATTGACGGAAACCCCTGAAGCCTCCATGGAACACCCAAGAATAGGCATGCTATCACGGCCGCGGGATGGATCCCGTATCCACGCCATCCAGGCGTCCCAATTGTTCCGGATGTATTCAGAATCTACAATCTCCTGCTGGTCGTCGAAGCAGAGTATTAAGGTGAGTTTGTAGGCCTCCACGAGATTATCGTTATTTAGGTACGTCTGCGCCTCTAAGTTCGCAATATAATCTAGATCTTTTTGTAAGATATCCTGCATACCTTGGACATCGAAAGGGTCGTCAAGGCAATCAGCTATATATATGATCTCATCATATAGTAAGGCCTTGACATTGGCATAGCTTTGAATCAAGGCGTTTCGAGGGTCCTTGAAATTCTTTAGCTCGTCAGGTAAATCTAGTCGTCTTCGGTGGCGTTTGGGAAGACTCTGTACGCTTCCGGCACCTCTTGGGGGATCATGTGCCCAGTTATATTTCGGACCTCCAGCCATCCAACTCGGATGTTCCGCCATCGCCTTACTGCCCCAGCTTTCATCTGCTCTGAGATCGAAAGCCCATGACGGCATTATGCCCCCACCTGGTTTCTGTCGAGATCGGCCAGCATTTCTCAAAAATCCAAGGAGGCCATGCTGTAGAAATTTGCGAGATACGTCAATATATAGTAGTTGCCAAGGTACTCCATAGTCTACTCGGAACCACGTGCTGGCATCTTGGGCAATGTGTTGCAACGCGTAGAGTTTATCGCGTGGGTCTGTAGAACCCAAGCGGCTCGTATAACTCAGGCAGGTCACCAGAGACCAAGCTAATTTATTTATTCCCTCGGTTATATCCTGCAACAGTCGTTTTCTTCGACGCTGGATATACTGCACAGCCGTTATATTGTTAAGTGTTCGGTCAAGATCATCAAGTATATAGTCAGGATAAAGAGTTATGTTACTCGGCAAGATCATCCATGCTAATGAAAAAATATTGTCCCAGTCGACTTCTTGGTTCCCACAAACGACTCTGGTCTGGGCGCATAAAGAAGCTTCTTGCTGAACCCAAACACGATTAAACCATGGGCGATTGACGAATTTAACTAAAGCAATCCCGAGGTTTTGGTGCTGGAGTGATTCTGCCTCCTCCCCCGCTTCGAAGAAATAGGACTTTTTCGGCAATGCCGGGCCCAACGTATATATTTCCCCATTTTCGCTAAGTAATTTTGCCGTGTCAAGTGTGGCGGCATAGGCCATGGCCAGAGAGCTATACTCGTCTGATTTGCCGAGCCAAACTACAACCTTATGTGCCCGCCGATATATATCATCCATAAAGGAAACTTGAAAACTCCGTTCCTCGATGTTAGATTGATCGATGCAGATGGCATCGATCCAGATGATCCTAGGCTTCTCTCGTAATCTCAAGTCATGTAGCATATCAAATGCATTTCTCTGTATTGTTATCGTGAAATCGTTGCAATGCAGGGAACATGGGCTTTCAGGTGAGCCCCACGTGTAGCTCGTGGCTTCATATGTTCCAGAGGCCTCCTCGATGGTCGTAGGGATGAGTTCGGCGCAGAGCGGATCGCGAGGCTCACCAGGGTAAAGGCGGAGCAACCGAATGGGCTTTCTACCGTGGAGTGGATGATACACCAAGGACGCAACTTTGGCATTCCAGGTCTCCATTACGGCCTTGCACGCAGCTTGCTTAGGTTTATCTCAGGTGACTTTAAACCTGATCTTACCATGGTTATATGGGTATGTTTAACGAGTGGGCCAGGTATTGCGGCCCGTGCTGTATTTATTACAATATAATGCGATTTTATATAATGTTAAACAGTTAATACGTATAATTAAATGATAAATGAAGTAATTATTAATGTTATTATTAATGATTTAATTAATTAATTTAAAATTGTAAAAACGCGTGAAATGTAAGTAATTATAAAAAAATTAAAAATTAAAAATTATTTAATAAAATTAATTAATTTAATATATTTTTTTAAATGTAACCGTAAAATTAATTTAATTTAAATAACTTTATTTTTTAAATTATTAATAATTTTATTTTATTTTATTTAATGTTTTATATATTTTTAATTTTTATTAATATAATTTTTTTATTTTAAAGTTACTTTTTATTTAATTTTTATAATTTTTTTATTTATAATTATTTTATAATATTTGTTAATTTTATTTAATTTTTAAATTTTTTATATAATTTTTTAAATAACGTTTTTATAAATCCGTTTATAATTATATTTTTTTAATTTAACGTGATTTATTTTTATATAATTTTTTTTAACTTTTTATTATAATTAATAATTATATATATTAATATATTATTAAACACGAAAAACGACGCCGTAATTGTTATACAACAATTACGCTTTATATATATTATGCGTTATTTTAATAAACTTAAATTAAAATTTGTTAAAATCGGGTTTACGTTTAATTGTGTTATAAACGTTATAAAACGTTTAATCCGTGTTATTATATTTATAGGTCATAAATGTAAGTTTTAACGAATTTTAATTTAAAACATGTTTAATATATTTAATTATACTTTAAAAAGTTTTTTTAAAAATTAAACCTTATATTTATAATAATTTAATATTTAATAATAACGTATAAAATAATTTTTATTTTTATAATTTAAAGTTAATATTATGTTTTTTTTACTTTTTTAATTTTTTTATATATTTATACGGTATTACGTTATAATATTATAAGCTTTAACGTTTAAAAATATACGTAATAATATTAAAAATATTATATTATATTTATATTTACATATTTACATTTATAATAACGTATAAAATAATTTTTATTTTTATAATTTAAAATTAATATTTTACTTTTTTTACCTTTTTATTTTTTTTATATATTTATACGGTATTACGTTATAATATTATAAATTTTAACGTTTAAAAATATATAAAAATATACATAATAATATTAAAAATATTATATTATATTTACATTTATATGTTTATATTTACAATTATATATAATATATTTTATTTTTTTTTAATTTAAAGTTAATATAATAATTTTTTAAACCTTTTATTTTTTTTACATATTTATATAACATTACGTTATAATATTATAAACTTTAATATAATATATTTTTAAAAACGTTATAATTAATGTTATAATCGGTATTATAATTAATATTATAATTAATTATTATTTTAAAATATTTAAAACACATATATTTATTAATAATAAAATTAATAAATATTTTAAATTAATTAAAACTTATTTTAAACGCGTTAATATTATTATTTTTAATATTATTTTTAATATTATTTTTAATATTAAATAATTTTTTATAAGTAAAATTGTTTAAATTACTTTAAACTAAAAATTTAATATTATTTTAAAAAGTTATTTTAAGTTTTAATTAATTAAAAAGTAATGTAATTAAAAAAAGTATAACTTTATAAATAATATCGAATTTTTAGTTTAAGTTTATTAAAATACATTATATAACACATTTTTTAAATAATTATATGTAATAAAATTACTTAAAATTATAACATTTTAACGTTTTTAAAGTTTTTTATAACATTAATTTACTTTAAAGTTATTTTAACAGTTATAACTTTAAAAAATTCTCGGTTTTTTAAAGTTTAATATCGTAATATGTTATTAATTATTAATAAAACGTATTTTTACTTTTAACGCGGTGGTTTTAATTAATTTTAAAAACTCGGAAACTTAAACTTTTAACTCATTAAACGTAATATTATACAATACTTTTAGTTTAATTTAAACTTACGCTTTATTGCCAGATTTAATTTAACTTTAAAGCTCGTTAAATTTAAAACTAACGTAATCACTAAATGCAAGGAATTGTGGATGTTATTATTGCACGAACCGGGCTTATAATTGTTAAACACGAAAAACGACGCCGTAATCGTTATATAACAATTACGCTTTATATATATTATGCGACATATATTTAAGTTTTGTTTTTAATTTTTTAATATTTTTATTAATTAATTTAATTATTTATTTATTATTATTTATAATAACGTTAATA